CTGTATTCTCTGTCCATATCATGGACTCTTAATATCATATTCTGCAGTTAAAGGGACTGGATAGAAGTTCTGGCTTTGAGTGACCTTAAACAGTCAGTCAGCCCGATCAAGCTCCAGGTAACTTAATTTGTACCAGCAAGATCACACTGAGGATGGCATGTGATGAAATTTACAAAGGCATTGGTACCCTGCAAATTTCTAAGCCTAGGGAAGGAGATGTTTTTATTTTATTTTCAAAGGTGGGGAAATAGTTCAAATCTTTGTCCACTGGCGATACATAGTCAAGAGTTTCTGTTTATCACAATTTATGTCACTGGTTACCTGTATGGACAATTCCTGAGTTGAGGTTGCTGTGTTTGTCAAGAGAATCCAATTACATCGGTTCATAAACTCCTTTCACAAACAGCTGTCTCTCTGGAACTGACAATAGATGGGGCGAACTTGCTATGCTATTCCTGCTTAAAATGAAAGGCAACTTTATGACTCTTGACTGAAGCAGAAAAGAATCCACCCCAAAGAAATACAATGCACAGTCTGTCCTTCCCACATGCTTTTTTCCCTCTAAAGTTGACTCACCTTTTTTCTGTTGTTGTTTTTTATTTTTGAAGAATTAGCCGTGTGGGAAGAAATAATAAATTCAATCTCTACCAAAGTTTTCAATGGAATAAATTCCAACCACCCCAGCGGTTGAATGGGAATGCAGTGGGAAAGTGAGTTTGCCCTTGTTCATTCATTTCATCGTTCCCCTTAAGAAAGTTGCAGCCTCACTGAAAAGCTATTAAATTGGCAGGACCTGTTGAATTTCTCTCTTGGGCACATGGGGATGGGTAGGTGGTTTTGGCTGAGATTCGGAGAGTCAGGTCTGCAATGATGAGAGGTGGAAAGATCACTGCCGGTTTTATCTACAAGCCTGAATTTTTTTTTCCCCTCCCTTAATTGGATTGGTGTCTAGATTTCAGGCAATCTATTTGTTTCTGACTTGAGTTTCTTCTTGCATGGGGCACTGAGTTGAGCATTCTTGTGCCACAACTGTGAGCAGTAGGTACTGTTCCACTTTCCTGGCCCAAGTTTGTGAGCACCTTCAAAAGCCACTTATCTGTATTTAAAAGTTACTTCCTTTACATTTAGAGTAAGAGCTAAAGCACCTGGTACAGAGTATGCACTGTGTAAGGGGCAGCTTTCTTCTACTGCCTCTCCTTTAATTACTGTAAAGACCACAGCACCATCCACCATCAGGACCAGCCCTTCCTTGCATTCTTCTCCAGGTTTTCGATCCAGTCTTTAGTCTGTTGAAAAAACGGGACTTTAGAATCTGCCCTTGTAAGCTAAAGATCTTGGGTTGCGGAGGGAACTCCAATTTAAAAAGATACATGCACCCCAATGTTCATAGCAGCACTATTTACAATAGCCAAGACATGTAAGCAACCTAAATGTCCATCAACAGATGACTAGGTAAAGAAGTTATGGTATATATACAATGGAATACTACTCAGTGATAAAAAAAGAATAAAATAATGCCATTTGCAGCAACATGGATAGACCTGGAGATCGTCATTCTAAGTGAAGCAAGCTAGAAAAAGAAAGAAAAATACCATATGATATCACTCATATGTGAAATCTAAAGAAAAGAAAAAAGAGGACACTAATGAACCCATGTGCAAAACAGAACCAGACTTGCAGACACAGTAAACAATCTTATGGTTACCAGGGGAAAGGGAGTGGGAAGGGAAAAATTTAGGAGTTTGAGATTTGCAAATGTTAACCACTATAAATAAAAATAGATAAAACCCCCAAATTTCTTCTGTATAGCACAGGTAACTATATTCAATACTTTGTAACCTTTCACGAAAAAGAATATAAAAACAAATATATGTATATATATGCACGACTGGGACATTATGCTGTACACCGGGAAACTGACACACTGTAATTGACTATACTTCATTTAAAAAAAAAAAAAAGATCTTGGGTTGGAACCCAGATCCATGGGCCACGAGCTCAGTGGTATGAGGCTTAGACAATAAATTGGACATAAAGGAGTTCCCTTGAAATCACTTGTACCAGCTACCTTTCCTTTGCAGTCTTGCTATTGTTTGCAGACAGAATAGCTAAAGGTTATTTCTGATCCCTCGAGGACTCTATCAGGTTTCATATCAGTAATTAAAAGCACGCTGCGTAAGGCGGCTGAATGCATCCAACAGTACAATTTTAGGCAGGAAACAGTGAGTTACTCCCATTCACTCCCAAGCCACAACAGCGCTTATTTGAACACTTTATCTTGGTCCAGCTGCCAGAAAACTTTTCATTCTCCTCCCTTACACACAGGGAGCCGCCTTTCCTTGGATATCTGAACTCGGAAACATTTAACATTCTCCCAGGAAATAACTCCATTCAAGGCCATTGTTTTTAAGTGCTAGAGCGATTGACTTGAAAGTAACTTGCGTAAATCAGCGCTGTTGATTACTAAACACAATGGTAATTACTGGGAGGATGCTGAAAACACAAAATGAATAATACGGCACAATTGAAAGTAGGACCTATAATGGACTTTAAATAATACCATATACTGCAGTTAAAGCAATAGGGCGGGCACACATGTGGTCTCCACACTTACGCAGCTTTCCCTGTTTCCTCACTTGGCAAGCGTTGTTAACACGCTGATCTCCCACGGTGGATCAGGTGCCCCTGAGGAAACACAGCTCTCACCCAGATTTGGGTGACGTGACATTCAACGTATTAAGTGATGATATGTTTTTCCTCCTGCACCTGGAGGCTTCAGAAGCCTTCTCAACTGGTGCTTCAGTGGCCATGATCAACCCACTGGATCTGCACAGGAGATGAAAATGATTTTCATCCTAATGATGGAGTATGTGAGCTGACACTCGACTGTGAGTTCTTTGAAGGCGACGGCAGTCCTCTATTCCTCTCTGCATTCCTAGCAGCTAGACCCAGTGTCTGACACGTAATAAACACTCAGTAAATAAGTATTAAATTGAACATCTGATGATATGCAATCAGATTCCGCAGTCTACTGAGTCAAGAAGAGCTTCCCAACTGGTGTGTCCGTGTGTCAGACAGACCAGAGGTAGGTGGACATCCTGTCTCCTACAGTTCTCACAGGCCCCCAAGGCAGTGTCCTCTGTGACCAGCTTCATCTAATTGCCCTAGTGTGCCGTCCACATCTTGTCAGTTTCTGTGTTTGCCACGATGTGAAAGGATTGGGAAAAGGTTGGGAAGCACTAGGTTAGGTGGCCCTCTCTGGATAACATTAAGATTAAATAGCATACTGTTAGCTCATCTGCACAATAGCTCTGTATTTCTTTATGAGTATTTCAGTTCCTTAAGATCTCAGATAATCATAAGCAGAGAAATACATCAATGAAGTAAGGAACTAATTATTACCATCAGATCCCACTGTGTGTGTGTGTGTGTGTACCCTATGGAGCAGCACCATAGGGAGTTCTTGCAGCTTTCAAAGGAGTCTCTCATCTCTCAGAAGGGGCAGCCAAGGAGCTCTACACATACTGATTAGACAATATTAATGACATTTTTATATGCAGTGGCTGTAAGTACTTTTCCCGAAAGATAAATGCTATAAATCTTCAAAGAGAAATGAGACCTTTCTTCTCTTTTCTGGTTATGCTCTCTGAATTCTAAATGTGGTTAAAAAAAAATTTCAGCGCCAACATCAAAGACGTGAGCTGACATCAGGACCATCTACTTGAAATTGGGACTCTCTCTGAAAATCCAGGACACATAGCTCCCATTTTTCTTTTGGAAACGTACACACCCAGCACTGCTCTGAGCGGCGTATTTTCAGAATGTGCACAGCGTCGTGGGAAGAAGGCACGGGCAGTCTTGGAGGCTGAGCGAGTGAGGAGGCAGATATGACAGGATGCCCCGGTGTCTCAGCCATGGCAAGCTGCCAGTGTTGTGCAGTGGAGAGAGAATAGGCAGGGAGACAGAGCTGGGTTTAAATCCTGGCTCCAAGTCTTTCTAGCTTTATGGTTTTGAGGACTGAGCCTCAGTTTCCAATTATAAACACCCCTGAACAATATGTACTATACAAGTCCTCATTGAGGACTGAGGCAGTGGGTATAAAGCACCTGGCTCAGTTAGGCTCTCAGCATATCCCCTGTGATCCAGCGAGAACCAGATCACTGGACAGGACAGACTGAGGCTTGGCTGGGCAGCAAATTTAAGAACCTCAAAGCCTGCCAGGCGCACACTGCAGGGTCAGAGACAGAAAGAGGGTTGTTCCTAAGGCTTAAAGAGACTTTAATGGGTAGCCAGTGGTGCATGGTAGGCAGAATTCTAAGACGGTCCCCAAGCTTCCTCCCCTTGGTGTACACATCCTGTATAATCCTCTCCCCTCGAGTGGGAGTGGGACTTTGAAATATAATGGGATAGTCACTCTGTGATTAGATTTGCCATACAGCACAATT